GGGAAAGAGCTACTACCTTGATCCCACTTGGTGCCACTAAAATTGGAGTTCACATCACCAAGTTAGAAAGCCTTCAAGGCAACCACATCTAACACCCCTCAACCTATGCCCAACATGACCAAGTTAAAGAGTTCTTTGCTAACACATGCCTGACGTTACCAATCTCGCGCTCGGTGTTAATGAGGTAAAGAGCCTTTAGCATGCATCATGTTTAATGCCATGAAGTTACACCCGACATGATGGTGATTTCTATACTTAGCAAATTCACATTTTGGTTCAATCCACTTGAACCTCGGCAAATTACTAACATGCAATTCATGAAACCATACATACATTTCACAAGCACTTCAATTCCAACCAGAAAAACCACATGCAACCAACATATGACTAAAATCACCAATTTCTCTTCAACATGTTCAAGAAACACCAAAAACCCATAATATTAGAGTTCTACCTCACAATCATCAACACAACAACAATTTTAGTGAATTCAAGCACTATACAACTCAAACAATTCATCAAAAATTTAAGTTATAACCACCCTTACCTCTAAATCAACTAGAATAAAGGTAGAACATGAAGAATGAGACCATTCCGAGCCAACTTTGTACAAAACCACCAATTCTCCAATCCTCGACTTCCAAAGCTTTGTTTCTCAATTTTAGTTATTACTGACTCCAGCAAGAATCCTTCACTTTAGGACGAAGAAGAAGAAGAATGAAATTCTGACTTGAGAGCTCATTTCTCTAGCTTCTCTCAAGTTTTCTTATGAAATAAATTTATGAAGTTTAAATCTTAAAAAAAAACTTTATATACTTTCTCCTAACCGGTCACTTTAACCTCATCTAAAAATAACACTTAACTAACATTACTCATTAGAATTTTTAAATCCTTAAAATTTCACAACAATTAAACAACTACTCATAATAATACTTTTCTGATAGCATGTGGTGCAAACTACGCAAGTTGATTTGTGATTATCTTGTTTTCTTGTGTAGTGTTACTTTATCTTAGTTGTTTTCCTTTCTTTGAATGCCTGCAATTTTTATATCACTAAAACATTTATATCATAAATATATACAATACAATCAAAGACGGATTAAATAAGTATTCATTTCATATTTTCATTCTAGTAAAATTATTATTGACCTCTTATTTACATACTTGCAAGCACACACACATAACTTGTTTCATCATTGTCGTTTTCTTGTATTTATTAATATTATAACTTTATATGATAATTTTACCAACATTTTTTCTTTTGAACTGAATGATGTATTAGTATGTTATACAACGTTATATATTTCTTAATCCAACTTTAAAATTGTATTTTTGAATAAATTACTCAATAGTGCATCCAGTATTTTAAGGAAGTAAAAAACTATGACAAACGCCCATCATCAATCAGCTAAATAAAAAATCATTTAAAAAAGAAAAATCTCTTATTACTAATTTTTTTTTAAAAGTGAGGGTCCATTTTGATGACCATGACATGACCACTTCAGTGAGGTTCATACTAGTTGGCATATGAACACGAGACACACACATAACGCGAGGGAAATGACTCTGACAAATCACGTTGCATCCGGATATAAAAAATAAAAAATAATAATGAATTAAATATATTTTTAGTTTTTTTAAATTTAAAATAAATTTGTTTTTATCTTTTAAATTTAAAAATATTATTTTCAGTTCTTATAATTTTAAAAAAATTATTTTTATTTCTTATATCATTAATAATATATTTGAAGTATAGACAATTATTTAGTATTAGTTAGATTTAATGTGATATTATCGTAAATAAATCTAATAATAGGTAAGTTTTATATGATAATATTTAATAAATTTTTAAATAAATTTAAATATAAGGAATAAAATTAAAAA